TGGCTGGGGAGGCCTCGGTTTCATCTGCACCGGCTCGGGTGCCCTCGGTGATGACTTCAAGAGCCAGGCCAGCCCGGAAAGCATCTTCATTGGCTGGAGAGGGTTCAGCAACCTCTTCACTGGCGGGGGCAGCCTGGGCGGCCGGCAGCCCTCCCATGTCCACACAGGCCCCTTCCGCTTGGAATTGCTCACCCCCAGCTAGGGCGACCTCCCATGCCTCGGTCTCCCGAATGAGCCGCAGCATCCCCATGAAGCCAGGTGGTCTCCTCTCCAGCCGCATCCTCCTCAGCTTGTTCTGGAGCATCTCGTTCAGGCGGGCCTGCATCAGCACCTGCCTGGCGCGAACCTGGTCTGCGATGACAGGACGGAAGGCCCCCTTCTCCACGGCCGACTGCAGCAGGGCTTCCAGGCGCATCACATAGGCAAAGAGAGTCTCCTGGGGCCGCTGGGCACAAGTCAGGAACTTGAGCCGTGCAGTCACGCAGGTGTCCTTGTCCCCAAACACCTGTACCAGCGCGGCCAGGCAATCCTGCACAGGCATGTCGGGATTTTCTGCCAGGAGGCTGCACATGAGATCCAGTGCGGGGCCACCCAAGCTCTCCACCAGCCGCCGCCTCCTCTCCCTTTCTGACACGTGGCGCCACATGTACAGCATGTCGTTGGCATGGTGCAGCCAGCTCTCAAAGGACTCTTCCTCTTGGTCTGGCTCTTCCATCCCAGAAAAGGTTCTCAATGCCCGATAGGCCATATTTTCAGGCACAGGTTGCTGGGCCTGATTCCATTGCTGGGTCCAGGATCCTCCCTCATCTATGGCTCCTGACACACCCACAGCTCCTTCCTCGCCTGCAGTGCCCGCCTCACCTGCAGCTCCTGCCACACTCACAGATCCTACCACACCTGCAATTCCTGTGTCACCTGAAGCTCCCTCCTCATCTGACACTCCCCCTTCATCTCCAGCTCTTGCCACACCCGCAGCTCCTGCCTCACCTGCAGCTCCTGCCACACCTGCAGCTCCCTCCTCATCTGAAACTCCTTCATCTTCTGCTCCTTCCTCACCTGCAGCTCCCTCCTCATCCGAAACTCCTTCATCTTCTGCT